CTGAGAGACCAGAGGCTTCTTCCTAGAGACTCTTGATAAGAAGTTAGCTTAGTCCCTGAGCTTCAGGTTGTATCATTTGACCCTGAGTTATGTGAGGCTTGGGCCTGTGGGCATTGGCAGAAGCTGCACAGTACAGAAGATAGAGCAGAGGCCATGGAGCCACTCAGACTTAGGGTCTAGTCCAAGCCTACCACTGACCAGCGTTGCAAGTTGAGCAGGCCACCTAACTTCTTTAAGCCCGTGTTTCCTCATCTGTTCAATAGAGATGATAGTACTTGAACTGTCGGCCCTACATGGATTGTCATGAGGATGAGGGAATGATTGCCTTGAAGTGCTCCCTACACTTTAAAACATGATACAAACATAAGGGGTTATTCTCTTATTTGTCTTATTAGTCATAGAGGTTCCCTCTCATGAAAACATGTTCACATCTTTAAAGGCAAGGGCACTGCTAGACATTCCATAACATTAGATGATACTGGCTCCTGGGAGTGGCCAGTAGAGACCAAGAGGGACTCAAAGCTAGGATTGCCTTCCCCTGCAGAAGTGAACAGTAAATAAAGCTTTTGTTATCTAGAGACCACTGCAGGATTTTAACGAGGGTTCGGCTGTCAAAAAGAAACTGCTGAGTGACACCCAGTGAAACAGATGGCTTTTAACTCAGAACTCTATTCTCATGCTCACTGTGCCCTCCCTCCCTCCCTCTCCTCCCCTCACTCTCCTCCCCTCCCCTCCCTCCCTTCCTTCCTTTTTTCTTTTTCTTTTTCTTTTTTCTTTTTTCTTTTTTTTTTTTGAGACAGGGTCTGGCTCTGTCGCCCAGGCAGAGTGCAGTGGCATGATCTTGGCTCACTGCAACCTCTGCCTCCCTGGCTCAAGTGATCCTCCCACCTCAGCCTCCCGAGTAGCTGGGACTACAGGCATGCGCCACCACGCCCAGCTAATTTTTGTATTTTTTGTAGAGTTGGTGTTTCGCCATGTTGCCCAAGGTGGTCTCAAACTTCTGAGCTCAAGTGATCTGCCCCCCTCGGCCTCCTAAAGTTCTGGGATTACAGGCGTGAACCACTGTGCCCACCTCACTGTGCCTTTCTGACAGGAAAAGGATATGCAGGATTCCTCAAATGAAGCCTTTTTTCACAGAAAAAATACACTTTTGGAAGCCCATGATGAGACAATAACGAACATTTATTGAGAGCTACTATATGCACTGTACCCAGCCCCTTTATTCATAGTGTCTCATTTAATCCTTACAACCTCCCATGAAGGCGCTACTGTTATTATCCCCACATATAGATAAAGGAGCCTGGCACAGAGAGGTTCGGTAAATTGCCCAAGATTACACAGTCAGTAAGTTCAGAACTGGGATTGAAACATAAGTGGTCTGACTCCAGAGCCCCACCAAATACTGCTGACTGGTATTACTTTTATTTTTATTATTCCAAAACCAAAGATAATATTAAGACCTTGTTTATGTTTTATGTATTTATTTGTTGATTCAACAAGTATTTGTCGAGCACATACTTACGGCCATACGCTGCTGGCCAATGGAGAAGGTAGTCACACTTACTGTCTTCATTGAGTTTTTTGTCTAGTGGGGAATTGTCAAGTAAGCAGGTGCTTGCAATAGAATGTAATAAATACTAGAATTAGGAGACGTGTAAGGTGCTAGAGGAGCTCTTAGGAGCAATAACTACCTCAAACGTAGGAGGAATCACTGGAGAAAGTGACTTCTAATCAGAGGCCTTCTAATCAGAGGCCTAGTGGTGTACTGGAGTTAGCCAGCTGAAGTAATGGGAGAGGGGAAGATGTTGCAGGTAGTAGAATAGTATTTACAAAAGCTCAGAGGCAAGAAAGAGCATTAGAAGGGTGATGATGAGAGAGGAGACCTAGGTGAGCAATGAGCCTCCTCTGGACATTCCTTATTAGCTGGGCTATGACACCAGCACTCTCCTGACGTTTGCGCCAGAATAGCCCCAGCTGTGTTCCTGAAGTTCGTCTGCTGTTTATGGTAAGCACCCTGGGTATAGCTCTGTCATTGCACGTGTGAAATTGTATTATCATTTGTCTGCTCAGTGGTCTGATTCTTGCATTAGGATGTTAGCATCTGAAAGTCAGGAACTGTGTCTTATTTATTATTATATCTCCAGGAACTACCACCATGCATTGGTGCTCATTAAATGTTGTTTGTTGAATAAGTGATGTGTTTTCTTTGTAAAATGGATTACACTTTTCTTGCTTCCTTGAGCCAACTATCACTTTTTGTCAGGTTCATCATTATATCCAGCAGTTAATGTCCTATGTGGCAGTTCAGTGATGCCCTTAGGGGCTTTTGAGGTGCTGTACTTTGAATTCCTTTTTCAGCTTTTCATTGTCCTGTTCTTTTCCCTGCCTGCCTGGCCAATGCTTGATTGTAATCAATCTGCTTGGTTCTGTAGCATCCTCCCTGGCCTTCTTATTTCCTTCTCCCAATCTGCAGTGGACTGGAAATAAGATCACCTAGCATGATTTGATAAGACTGTAACTAAGGGCTAGTAATCTCTGACTGAGGTCCTAAAGGGATCTCTTATGGGAAAAGTGTAGATGCCATTGCACATGGGACTTGTATGTTAGAGGCCTTTTAACTTCCTGTTCTTCCTGCTCCAGGAAAGGTCAGATAACACTCTTGGGGCAGGAGCAGGGGGTTCATCAGTCTGGAGAGGCCATGGCAGGAGTAGAAGGCTCATTGACCGCTGATTCTATAAACCACAAGAAACTGTTGTCTTGTTTTCCAGCTGCACATTCCACCAACTTTATTTTGGCCAAATATTTGAAATGCTTCCATCCACACTAGCTTATTTGAGTGCTAGCTACAAACCTTAGACCATTTTCTATTAAGGGCAAATTCTGCAGAGAGTGTGTTTGCACCTTCACCCAAACAGGAAAACAGGATGGAATAAGAGCCAAGGCTGGGACCAGGATATCTGGGCTCTACTTCTTTCTTGGTCTCTGATTTCCTCATTTGGAAACTGAGGGTGACATTACGATATGTGAGAAAGAGTGAGGACAACCACTTATTAGCTATGTGACCTCTGAGCCTCCATTTCCTCATCTATAAAATGGGAATAATAATTAGCTACTATGTAAGGTAATTATGAGAATTAAGTAAGATTAACTGTGTCAAGTAACCATGTCAGGTATAGAGTAGAAGGTCAGTGAGTGGAATCTATTAGTGGCCAGGTACAGTGGCTCATGCCTGTAATCCCGGCTCTTTGGGAGGCTGAGGTGAGTAGATCACTCGAGGTCGGGATTTCGAGACAAGCCTGGCCAACATGGCAAAACCCCATCTCTACTAAAAATACAAAAATTAGCCGGGTGTGGTGTCAGGCACCTGTAATCCCAGCTACTCAGGAGGCTAAGGCAGAGAAACGCTTGAACCCAGGTAGGGGCGCAGTAAGCCAGATGGTGCCACTGCCCTCCAGCCTGGGTGACAGATCAAAACTCCATTAAAAAAAAAAAATCTATTAGTATTAGGAAGAGGCATGGCAGTCTTCTGGCTTTTGGAACTTTGTATAGGATGTTGAGTATTGTGCAGTGGGGAGAAGCATAGACTCCATTCCAAGACCACTTGAAAAAGAATGGTTTAGGAATTGTCTGGTGCTTTTGACTACATAGGTAAGGTCACCTCTTGACTGAGTGTACCCCTTTATCCAGTGAGAGGTAAGAGGAACCTGTCCTCTGCAGATCCTGTGCTGTGGACTCAAGGAGAAGAGAAGTACAGGTAGTCAGGACCCAAATTCTACCCCTACAAACTCAGCTTAGGAGGGAATGTAAGACAGTTGCCTGGATAACTTCCACGTGGGGGCTAGAAAGAAGCTCCGTTGCCTGAGCAGGGGAGAGAGTGCTCTATGGGGTCTCATTTCCCAAGGGAGGGCCCCAGAGGTGGGGTAACGTTCTAATTTATTGTCCAAACTGGAACTTTCTATAACAACAGACGAAAACCAGGACCACCCTGGGTAAACAGGGTGTGTGAAGTCACCCAACCCAGAGAGTCTTGGAAAAGTGATGGACTGGTTTTATATTATTTTATATCAAATCAGAGTGAGAAAATCACAAATATTAGCACTAGTGTGAGCCTGGGGGATTTTGGTTCTTTGACCACATGAAATGCTTGTTCTTCTTTCAAAAAAAATGTTTACAGGTAATTATTAAGGATAAAAATGCAGATTACAAAATTGCATTTACAGTAAATTCCAATTTTGTAGGGGATACACACACGCATGAAATTTGGAAGAACATATATCAAAATCTGACATGTAGTTTCTCAAGTCACTGAGATATCAGTCCCTTTTCTTCTTTGTACTTTTCTATGATTTTAAAAATTTAATTGCTTTTATAAATTTTTTAAGTTTTAAAAAATTAAAACCACTTACTTACTGGAATGTAAACATTTTCAGAGCAGAGAGGTGTATTAATCTTCTGCTAAAACAGCCCCTGTCTGCTGCCCCACTCTTCCCTTATCCTACCCCAACCTGTTTTCTTTACCTGCATAACTTCTCTTCATCCTTTAAGACTCCTGTCTTCTGGGATCCTCTCTTCATGTCCAAGTTGAGCTAAACTCTCCTGTGGCATTCTGGTATATTTTTCTGTTATACCTGTAACAGAGCATTTATCTCAAACAGTTCTATAAACATCTGGTTATTGTCTGCCTCCCTCGTCGGTTAGGTCAGGGACCTTATCTGATCTATTTCATGTCCCCAGGATGAATCCTAACACCTAATAGATGTCAGTAAACACTGTGGAACTAACTGGCCTCTGTTTTGCCTCTTCTTACCCAGCACAGATGGCCAGGAACATAGTAGGTGCCATTTTATGCTTAGTGAGTAGGTAGATGAGTGAGTGAGTGAGTGAGTGAGTGAGTGAGTGAGTGAGTGAGTGAGTGAATTAAAATGCCACGAGAAAACAGGTGAGATTGGTGACTCAAGCTGTCATTGCTAATGGAAGGGTTTGTGTTGCTGTCTCCCCAGTCCTGATCACCCGAGAGGATGACTTCAACAACCGGCTGAACAACCGCGCCAGTTTCAAGGGCTGCACGGCCTTGCACTATGCTGTCCTTGCTGATGACTACCGCACTGTCAAGGAGCTGCTTGATGGAGGTGAGAACAGAGGTGGAGGAAGGGTGGGGTGGGGGAGGTGGAGGAGGAGTGGAGTGGGGTTTGGCAGGGGGAGAGAGTACTTGGCAACCTCTCTATTCTGGAAATAACATACTTCCCCAGAGCCCTGTTATCCTCCCAGAGCTAGGGATGCCTCGAGAGCAAGTTTGCTTGCTGAGAATGGCAGTGCACACAGGTGGTTTGCCCTCCTGTGGCTGATGTGTGTTCTCTGCCTACGTGTGTGTGTGATGCACCATGCCATCCTGCCTGTCTGTGTATGCTGTGAGAGTTTTCTGGATTGCCGCTACCCCTAAAAGTGTTCTCTCTTCTCCCCCGTGACCTCCAAAGCAGAGCTAATGAAACAAAGGAGAGGCTCTTTAAATCCCTACTAACCCAGGTCACAAAGACACCTTCTTTGGTCCCACCCCAGTCTCAGGCCTCTTTCATTACTCTGGGTCATGGCACCCTATTCTTTTCCGTCATTACACTTGTCACAACCTGAAATTGTTTTTGTTTGTTCAATAGTCTTCTCCCTAACTTGTCTCTGAGCTTCTAAAAGGCGAGAACCGTGGCTGACTGGTTCAAGTGTCCCCAGCATCTACTATAGTACTTGGCACTTAGTAATCACTGAATAAATATTTGTTGAATAATGAGTACCCTCTCTTTGGAGAACATCAGTTAATTGGAGCAACAATATATGCCATCCCCAGACTCAGGCTGGGCAAGTCCTGTCCAAGTCTGGTAGTGTTACCTTCCAGACACATCCCAGTCACTTTGTTTCCCACTTCCCCATGTCCCACGCCGGCCTCTCCTTGGGAGGGGGTGGGAAGCAACTTGCCAGGATGTGTGGGGCACAGACCCCTGAGTGAGTGCATAGTACATGACTGCCTGTTCATGCCCCCTCTGCTGCTTTTTGAGGGCCAGGGATCCTCTCTTGGGGCTAGACCCCAGGGTCTTCCTTGTTGGGATCATTCTTCATAGAACCTGAGCACTGGAAAGGTCCTCAGAGGTCTCTGGGCCACTCTGATGATTGCCTGCCTCTCTGCCAGCAGAACCCTCTCCAACAGCTGGCTAGCTGACATTTTTCAGAGACAGAAGGAACCCTCCTTCTTCCCCAGAGAGTTAATCCCATTTTACTTCATCCCTGACTGGTTGAAACACCTTTTTTTTTTTTTTTTTTTTTTTTTTGAGACATGGAGTTTTGCTTTTGTTGCCCAGGCTGGAGTGCAATGGCACAATCTCGGCTCACCACAACCTCCGCCTCCCGGGTTCAAGCAGTTCTCCTACCTCAGTCTCCCAAGTAGCTGGGATTACAGGCATGTGCCACCACACTTGGCTAATTTTGTATTTTTAGTAGAGACAGGGTTTCTCCACGTTGGTCTCGAACTCCCAACCTTAGGTGATCCACCCACCTCAGCCTCCCAAAGTCCTGAGTTTACAGGCGTGAGCCACTGCGCCCGGCGTGGTTGAAACATCTTTTTAATGAGCTGTGGTCTTCTTTGTAACTTATGCCAACTGTCTTTTGCTACCTAATCACTTTTCCAAATACCAGTCTTCAAGGAAAGTTCTTTTAGTCCCAGAGCTTTTGCCTCCGCAGGCCCAGCATCCCCAGATCATCTTCTGATTGGCTTCTGGGAACTTCCCAGGAACATGTAATCTTGCCACTTTCTGTCAGCCACAGCCATGCTAGCTTAAAACCCAGGCCCGGCCTGTATCCCCAAGCCTACAAGGGACCTGCCCCAGAGCAGCCAGAATATGCTTTGGTCTGGGGCACAGCCACTGAAGGGCAGGACTACTTGTGGATGTGGCAGCAGTGCTTGGGATGACTGATGCTTCTGCAGCAAGAACTTGCTGCTCTCAGAAGCAGAGACTTAGAAAACGTCCCCAAGCAGAATGCTTCTTCCTTTGTCCGTTGGAAAGCTCTGTGGCAAGACATTCGTAGCTAAGATTTGGAGTGTTCACCAAGGACATTCTCTCTGCTATGCCTTAAAATCAATCAATACTCCCAGCTATTGTCCAGTAGTTTACATTCTCTGCTTCCCCCAACCCCCAGACAGAGAATTCACTTTATAAGGAGCCCCTCTTCCTAGCCTTCTAGATCGAACACCTTTGAAATGAAAAGATGAGGGCCTTTTATGAAACTCCCTCTGTCCTCACCCCCCAGGCCAAGGCTGGCCCTTTGAGCCGTTCCAGGGCCATGGTTCCTGCCTGTTGACTTGGAACAGATGCCCTTAGCCCCCACCTTTACATTTCTCCCACCTGCCTTTTTAGCCAGCATCCATTTACACCCCCTGCCCTAGCCTCCCAGCCTCAAGGGCCAAAACCGTTAACCCAGTATTTCTCCCTCCCAACCCTGAACAAGTTGCCATCACTCAGGGCCGGAGGCTGCCAACTTCTGACTTCCCTTCCCCCTGACCTCCCTTGGTCTGCCTGTGTGTGTGACCAGCCAACCGAGAGGCAGGATCCTGCTCTATCATTCTAGGGGCTGTTGCCAGTAATATTTCCAGAGTCTTTTGACCTCAGCTGACCCTCTCCAAAGGGTTTCAGGAAAGGCAAGGGAGCCTACCTTCCTGCCCATCCGGCTGGCCTTTTTTTTTTTTTTTTTGAGACAGAGTTTCGCTCTTATTGCCCAGGCTGGAGAGTGGTGGCACAATCTTCGGCTCACTGCAACCTCCACCTTCAAGCGATTCTCTTACCTCCAGCCTCCCAAGTAGCTGAGATTACAGGCGTGTGCCACCACACCCAGCTAATTTTGTATTTTTTTAGTGGATGTGGGGTTTCTCCATGTTGGTCAGGCTGGTCTCAAACTCCCAACCTCAGGTGATCCGCCCGCCTGGGCCTCCCAAAGTGCTGGGATTACAGGCATGAGCCACCGCACCCAGCCCCATCTGGTTTTCTTAGGCTGTGCTTGCCACCAGCCTTGCTGCAGTAACTAAAGGGAGATTCTGTGAGATCCAAAGCAGGCCTAAATACAGAGGCCAGCCTGTGCTCACAGGGCCCATACAGAACAGTTTCCTTGAAATTACTTAGTCCTCTGGGATTTAGGGTCCCCAGACCTTAGAGGGTTAGAGCTAGAAGAGTCAGCTGCTCTTGCTGTCTGACCGGAAGTCCCCATTTGAGCTGGGAGGAGGTTCAGACAGAAGCATCAGGCTGATAATGTGGAAAGCTCTCTGGCCCATTAGAAGGTGGCATGGAGTAATAGAAAGGGAACCATAGGCTTCAGAATCATGCTAACCTAGGTTTGAATCCCAGGTCACCCACCTATTAGCTGTGTTGCCTTGGGCGTGTTTCCTTAATTCTCTAAGCCTCAGTTTTCGTACATCTAAAATAACACCTGTTTCACAAGGATAGCATGAGGATTGGTGGTATTTTTTATGAAAGCCCCTGGCAGGCACATGGTAGGTGCCCTGTTATAAGTAGTTATCGTTGTGACATGTGTAAAGAACTCAAACTCTCATTCTGGCAGCTGTAATTCCATTCCTCCCCAATATGGAACCTTTAAGGCCTCTTAATTTTGTCTCTACCTACAACTTTCCTATCCTGCCTAAAGTGCTGTCATGTTCCCTCTTATCTGAATCCTCAGACTCTTCAAAGCCTCCCTCTCTTAGGAAGCCTTTCTTGGTCATCTGGTCTACTCTGATACTTCCTCCTCCAAACTTGTATAGCATTGTACAGCTTAGCACAGACTGCTTAACGTCGCCTCATTTTCAGGAGATGCTGTGGCATAGTGAAAAAGAAACAAGCTTTTAAGTCAGACCTGGGTTTAAATCTCAGCCCTGTCAAGTGACCCTCGGCAAGACACTTGCCATCTCTGAGACCATGGGCCTCAGGGGATCCTAAGACAGATCAGGCAAACTGTCACTGACCCTGAGAGGCTCTCACACTGTCAGAGGAGACAGATATGGAAACAGGCCATGATAATGGAGTAGGTGCTCTGACAGGCGACTGGACAAGGGACTCTGGGGACGAACAGGGGGAAATGCTGTATTCTGCGTGGTAATCAGAGAGGTGGAATCAGTTACAGAAAGCTTCCCAGAGGAGGGCGTGCTTAAGCCTTATCAGGAAGGATAATGGGAGTTTGCTAGAGTTCTCCAGAAGGGTTTTGAGTTAACTAGTGCCAGTCTTCTACTCTCAACCACCACAGAAAAGTACAGAGACCCTCATGTTTTTTACCTTGAAAGATGCTGCTTTTGCCTGTGTTGATGGCTTATCAGCAGGAAGGCTCTGCTTCAGCACTTGAATGCAGGTGTGGTTGGAGGGAGGGAGGAGGGTGGGGAAGAGGCAGTAGGACTAGAAAGAGGAGTGATCAGGGAAGGTGGCTGGAGTTTCATACTTCAAATTCCTGAAGATGACTCATCTTGATATTTCCAGGACCGTTAAGTTGCTTTGACAACCAGGTCCTTTCAGGAATGTGATCCCACTGGCAGATCCCTCTTCCTAAAACATATCTGTAATCATGGCAGTTTTTCTTGACCAGGGTTCTTCCAGAGAATTGAGCCCTCATTCTCCAAGGCATCCATTGTACACAGGAATTAACATCTCTTCCAGGCATCTAAAATGGTACTAGCTATATATATACACCTTTGGAAGCATTGAGAAAATCACTAGTCAAATATTTTTTTGTATATGCTTCAAAGGAGAACCCCCAGCTAAGAGAGGTTGCAAGGGAAGGGCATGAATATCGGAGTCAGGATCTTGGGACCAGCCCTGCCGTTTAATAGGTATGTGATCCAGGGCAAATTACTGACTGTTCTGAAGTTCTTTTTCCTCATCTGGAAATGGGGGTGTTGCCACCTACCTCCTAAGGATTTGCAAGGATTAGGACATATGTACTTCTATAGAGTAGGTACTTTTTATAAAATAGTCTCTGTTATTAACTTCAGAAACACTCAGTGCTCACTCATTAAAAAAAAAAAAAAAAAATCCTAACCATACTAATGTTTTTAACTGGTTTTAGAGTTGCTCTAGTCTGACCCTCGCCTACTTTTTCCCCCTATTGAAGC